AACTACAGCAACGCAATAACAATTTAAATTAAAATTAAAAAAACTAGTGCCTGAATGGCCGGGGAGGGGGAGAAATAATTGGTCCATCGGAGCATATATTCATTCGCATTTGATTGATAGTTCTGTTAATGGTACTATGACCAATAAGGAACGGCACGTTCAAAGTTGTATGTATTATAATGATCTCACCCTTTTGCTACCACGTCAAATTGAAGATCTGAAAATTTAAATACACACCAGTCTTAAATGTCATAATTATAACTATATAACTAAATGAACTAAATTTCATTATAATGATATGATAGGCAGAATATTTGGTACAATCTGTGCTGCCAGTTTAGTTTTGATCACGAATGTTGATGGTAGTATATCAAACTTTCAACAAGTCATGTGGTAAAAATAAGTGACGTTTTTCAGCCATCTTAATAACCTTCACAAAATAACATTGTATACAAATACAACGAAAAGCTTTTCTAAATTCACACCCTTTTCTTGCTTTTGTCTGGTCGTGTCTCCTGGCAACTGAAAAAAGTGCACAATGTTTTTCGGTGCTTGTGTAGTAAGCCTTTGTATGTGAAAATATATTTATATGACACTATTTGGTATATTAATAAACAGGACATCTGTAGACTACATTGGTATTGGTATTGTGGTTGTGGTTGTTGCTGTACTCATCACTATTGGAGCCATTGCTGGTATAATTGCATGTGTGTGTTGTTGTATCAAAAAGAGAAGTAACAATAGTACACGTGCCCACGTGATTCGTAAGTACAACAAACAAACATCTACTATGATCACCTGACGTGGGCGTGTGATTAATGGTTTCAATAAATCTTTTGGTGGTAGTTACTTTATCTCAAAAATATATTAGGAATGGCATTTTTTTAAGTAACGCGTGGCATTTAATAATGCAAATGTTCGCACCGTTTTGGACAATTCGCTCCATAAATGTAAAAATTAGACATTCGTACTTACAACGCTTGTTACATTACATTGACTATATTTGTTACAACTTTACAGATACCCAACCTTATCTACAACCACAAGGCGCACTATGGACTGCAGAATCACCTCCAGTTTATGGGGTACAACCAACGTTCACTGAGCCACCACCACCACCATATGATACATTATACGGCAAATAAGTACCTCCATAAACACACTGGGACAAAACAAGTACATATACCCAAGACGAGTGTCATTTGTGTCTTGTCCCATCATAACACTACAAACAGAAATGGGATAACGCTACAAACAGAAATAAGAAGAAGTAGAAGAAAATGTACTTCATGATTTAGTATTCCCCAAGTTCTAGTTTTTTTTTTTCATTTTTAAAAATTGGAATGATTATATGGCGTGGGATGTAATTGTATTTTTACTGCTTTTAATTTGTTTTTTATTTGTTATTATATACCATTAATGATGATGTTTTTTCCACAACCATCTGTTTCACGGTCAAATTAATTCTACATTGACCGAGGAGAACGATTTCTGCACGTAATCTTTGAATGCTATTGAGTTTGATGCTTAATTTTGATGAACAATGGTCTATGATGATTCAGTGAAATTACAGAATACTTTGTTAGGGACACTCGTGAGATTGTGTCTAGACGTGTTTTTAATCAGTGATTGTGAACTCATTGGAGTGGAACTATTTGGCGGCTTTTATCTAATCAACCATTATCATCATGTATGCTGTTAATTGTATGAAATTATTTCGCAGGTTTCTAGTTATGGCGAGGTATATTTATCATCAAGGTAAATATACCTCACTCACTTTAAGATCATTACGCTACTGAAGTGTTTACGATTGGTTTAATAGTATGGACGTAATGCGTTATGGTACTGTGATTGGCTCATGTAACTTTATAGGGCAAAGTTTATTTAAGAATGTCGCACAGCTCAGACAACCGTCACACCGGAACAACCTTAACAATAAAGCACAAACTCCAGTAAGGATATGACACCCATGAACTTCTATTATGTTGGGGATATACAAAAGCACCAAGACAACGTCCAACTACCCATTCAACGTCATGAATGCTCAGCCTGAATGCCAAAGCGAACAAAATATATATTGCAACTATGACAAGATCGTCAGAAAACACTGTCGCATCCAGAAATTCGGTAGGGCCGCTCCTATTGACGTGACCGTAGGCCACGTCCGCGCACCTTCGGTGGGCTGGGTTTGCCAATTGAATTGTCATCTTTTTGAGGGGGTGCCTAACGCGGCCTTTAATACGCGCGTGGAAAACCTGCTTATCGACACATCTCGACGATTCCGAGGTATACCACCGAATGCATCTTTTCAACGTGTATGTAACGGCGACTGCGGTCCGGTAGCATAGTGGTTTTCGCATCAGACTCATGATCGGTAGACCCAAGTTTAAATCCTACCTTAGGCTGAACATCAAACGGTTGACCCCTACCCTGGGTGAGTGTGCCACAGACTCAATGGGAACGCCAATTCGCACTAGCACTTGCAATTTGCATATACAAAAAACAAAATGACAGGAGAGACAACAGTGACACTCAACGTCCACAAAAAATATTTAAAAAGAAAAAATCGGAAAATGAAATCCTTTTCAAGGCTGTGGGTGCAATTTAAACATTTAAAATACTTTTAAAATACGTTTTCGACAATCATTTTGTCGTATGAAAAAAAAAATCCGGACATCTAAATCATTATAGCGCAAAGTTTAATCAAGTTTGGGAAAAAATCGGAAACTATTGAAGATACTGTTTTTTTTTTTTTTTTACCAGATAGCATATTAGTATGTAACAGTACATATTTAATTCTCCCTGCAATTGGGGTTAGGTAACTTGTAAGAGTTTCGAGGTTAGCTTCCAAGTCGACGGCTCACTCTGAGACAGCATTTACATTTGAGTACAGTATGACCTGCCTTCCACCTATCTGGTATTAGATTTAGGAGACTAGCTTGCGTAAAGCACTTGATATTAACACCCAAGACGGAAACGTTCAGAGATACTGACTTCAATGTTCACCACTCCAGAACAAAAAGCCCAATTATAGGTCGGTGAAAAATTCGTTGCACGGTCGTGACCGGTGAAACATATTGTGGAATTGGGGTCGGTAGTCAGTTGCGTTACACTATTAATTTTTAGAAGCCAGTTATTTGTTTAAATCTTTGTATTGACTACATGTATGTTGAGAACGAAATGTGTGAACAAACTATGAATACGTGTGTATATGTGAGACGAATGTCTCTTAATGTCAAACAGCCAAGAAGGGGGGGGGGGTAGCTGGTACAGTTTTACGGGAAATAAAAAGGGGCTTTTCACAATTTACAAAAGACGTTTTTACAGTTTATAGTAAAAATTGAATTTTGCAGTGAATTGTGTCATCTAGTCGTTTTACAGTTTCGAAAATGTAATTTCCCTGGATTATTCTTTACGACTTTTTTTATTTGGATATAAATTCTTGTACGTACCGAGAAAAATGACACATTTTTACAGTGTACGAAAAAATATTTGATTGATTACGTTGTACGTCTAGCCTGTGATTACAGAATTCCGGAATTTATTTTTTTCAATTTACGTTGTACGAACAAACAAATATTGCAATTACGTTGAACGAAAATAACCTCTGCCCCTCTCAGCCAACACTTAGTCTTTTGCAAGAGAAAATTTACTCACCGGTCACTTATTTCTCATATACACGCCTGAATCTTAATATAACATTATTTAACATAGTTAGAAACAAAATGTGCAAATGTATGTGAAAACAAACAGAATTGTGCAGTTCTTTAACATCGCCCAGGATTTCTGATGGTTCGTCCCTTAGTCGTCCATTTTAAATGTATTAATACGTAATTTGTATATAAATGTGACAAGGCTGTGACGCGAAATATAGTTCTTTTTATGAAACGACACTGAACAGGTTTAACCACATGCTATACATTTATGAAAAATGTAATTATAATAGAAATGACATATTACTTTAATTATTTCACAATCTGTTCACCATGAAAACAAAACAAACATTTTTCCATTCAGCATTTGGCGGATTGCTCATGTAAATTTACCGTGAATAGTTTTGTACAGCTGACCGCAGAAGAAAGCGAGACGTGGGAGAGGTCAGAGGTGTTCCACGTTGTGCGTCAATTTGATGTCGTTCTGCACCAAAAAACTTTTGTCAGACTTTCAAAAATTTGGACGTCTTTTGAAGTTGTCTGGTCAGAATTGTGTTGCAGATTAACCACATTTGACTGATTTTGTTGTAAATGTGTCGTTATGTGAAACAATTGCAGCACGTTCGACGCACTCAACTCTGCTGTCTTCGCAGTTTTCCATTGTATTATATTTGTATCTTCTATGTCTTTTAAATAGTGGAACGACGATATTTGTTGTCAGTTGCTAATGTTGGAATGTCGTCTGCCGCGAGTAGGAGGAATTCTAAATGTGTTTTGCTGCTTGGTACATTTGTGAAAATCCGGTAATTTGTATTGTGGCGTTTCTCGTTCAAACTGGTTGACGGGTGTATTCTCAGTTTACAGTATGTCAATATGGTTGACCTATTTGAACTATTGTGTTTGAGGCTTATTTGTTTACATTATATTTGCAACAGTTTGTTGCAACTTGTGGCATGGAATACTGCATTCACGTTTGCTGAGTTAGTCATGGGGAAACTGGTTCATCTCAACTAATCGCACAGATAATGTCTTATTTGCAAGTTACTGTAATTTTAAACGTATTAATTCGTTAACTCGTGACAATTGTGACAAGGCTGTGGCGACGAAATGCAGTTCTCTGAATCGATCCTGACCAATTTAAACACGTTTTGAAACGATTACCTCTGTGATTTTAATGGTAATAAGTACTTTAATTAATATATAATTTGCTCTCCTTGGAACGGGATACGAACATTTTTCCTTTTGCATTCGGCGAATTTACCGTATATCTGACCACAGAAGAGAACGAGACACGAGCTAGATCAGGCAGAGGTTTGTCATACTTTACGGTAGTTTTATGTCGTTCAGCAAACATTCTTCACCGACTTTCGAAGATTTCTTGTCATAATTGTGTAGCAGAATGGCCACATTTGATGCAGTGGTTGTAAATTTGTTGTTTTTGTAAAAAAAGTGTTGCATGTCTGGCGCACTCGGTTTGTTGTCTTCACATTTTCTCATTTTGAGAAGTTCCACTTGACAGTGTATTCTGTTGTGCGGCGACGGCATTTTCCCGTCATTTCTTCTGCTCAGAGTTTAGAAATTTCAACTGCTACGAGTGCGCATCTTGCATTTTCAAGATACAATGTTCCAGCTTACTGTCGCATATCCACATTACCTTGATGTATTGGGAATGTACAAATTATTATATCCAGATTTCCATATAGGCGAGAGGGATCACTCGGTCATAGGGCTGTGGGAAATAATTTTGTTGTCAATGGTTTCCTCTGGTTTTCTTTGTTTTGTGGATAGGCGACCTTTGCTGTAGTGATTGCTCTGGATATTAATGAACAGTAACTAAATAAAATGACACAATCACAATTTATTTTATTAATTAAAATACATGTATGTGTCACAATACAATTACTAATGCTGAATAACAAGGTCTTTGCCAAAAATAGTGGTACATGTACATAGCCAACGTCAACTAAGGCAGTTCGCTTCCGGCAGCACGTCAGCCAGTGGCTTTGGCCGTCGCATTGAATCTGTATCACAGTACACTGAATAAAAGCGGGCGTGCATTCATCCGCCCATTGATCATCAGACTGGCGTATCAACAAAAACACTCGCCTTAATTCCAGTCATCACTGGCGATACATTACTGGTCGATGTAGACCGAATAGATAAAACATTTGTTACAGACTGGACGTAATTAGACGCATCTCCATGTTAAAACATCTGGGAGGCGGTAAAACTGTTCATAAGCAGCTTAGCATACCTGGTATTTGAAATGTGATATTTGTAAAAATGAATTTGATTGGGTCTTAACTTTGCCCACGAAAACTGACCGCACAGGCTCAAGGAGAGTGGGGTGAACGTATATAAAACACTGCACGATGGGACGATGCAAATCAGAAGAATTCGAATTGCATCTGACTTCTTGGCACGTTCACGTAAAATCGCCTTTATTTGTCCCCGTTCGGACGAAGTCCGAAAACGGGGACTTGTAATTCGGTCTCCGTCCGTGCGTCCGTGCTGAGTCGTATCTCAGAATCCCTT